TATATATAATGTCTTCATTAATTTGGCAGTCTTTTATATTTGAATAAATATTTGGAGATTATATTTTGTTCTCGTGTACAAAACATATTTATTTTTATACTGTAAACATTTTTTTCATAAATGCAGTGTTACAAAAAAATTTAAACTGCCATTTTTTTGTTCCCCCGCTTTCACGAAATATATTGATCTACTTTCGTTAATTTTAGCTTATTTGTGTAAAAATTGAAAAAAAATGGTCTGGTTTGAGTTTACAATAGGTCCACTTTCATAACATTTGGTGGATTGATAGATAAGATAACTGCTACCAAAGAGTATTTTCTGAAACGTCTTAATTCTTCCAAATTCATAGCATTGAAATAGAAGAAGACATCACCAATCATTTAATGACTGATAATGAAATCCCTAGGGGCTCTGTTCCTATGGAACCTTATCAGTCTCTCTTTATTGGCTCTTGGTTTTCGTATTACTCTGTCCTGTATGTAAATCAGTAATAATTGTCTACTTCTCTCACTCAGGAAAAAGCAGATGAAGAGCAGATTGCAATGTTTGCAGTGTTTGATGAGAATAAAAGCTGGTACTATGAAGTCAATAAGCCAAAAGCCTGTAGCTGGATGCATACCAAAGACCCCAAAAATCTCTACAATTACTATGTTATCAACAGTAAGTTGCACTGGATTTTTCATCTTATTATGATAACTGCTGAAATGGTAAGAAATGTATTACCACTAGGGATGCAATGATTCCAATACCAGTATCAGTATACTGATATGCTGATACTTGGCATTTTCACAAGTACTTGTGAAAATACCCCGATAATAAGCACTGATACCGGCACTTTAAATTTTTAAACAGGAGTGGCTGCCGTAAACTAAAGTCCCCCTTTTGCTGGGAACCTCAGGCAGCCTGCTGGGCACCTTGCGGCGGCTGTATTTTTACAGTGCCGGTCTGGCCTGGTCTGTATTGTTTTAGAAAAACTGTCATATGACACTAAAAAAAAGGTACTTGAGGAAAATAATCAGTACCCTAATTACCACATAACAAGTGCAAGTGTTATGCAATTAATGAACAAATCTTTGCCTGTGCATGGTAAAGGCAAACTCAAAGACATGGGTAGCTATAAAAATGGATATGAAGAGGCATATGCTTTCTGCGGAGTAATTATAAGTGAAATAAATAATTATATTTTTAGTAGAGTTGTCCTTTATAGCCCCCTTATTGGCCCCTTCAGGTATCATACTTTCCTGTCTCTGCACTGCTAAAATCTTCAGTGTGTGGCCCACTGAGCATTACACAGCCTCTTCTTTAAAGGAGAACTATGGGGTTCAGTGTTTTTCCCCATAGTTCTCCTTAGGGTAAAGGGAAGACACAAACTAGCGTCCTCCCGTTACCCTAAGCTCAGTATACCGTGTGCTACAGCCCTCTGTTATACTGAGACGCCGCAGCCAGAGCGGATCCCGACGTGGATGACGGCATCCGCCCAGCTGCGTGAGTGACAGCTGGCTCTGCCTATCTAGAGGTAGAGCCAGCTGTACCCGCCCCCTCCCCCGTCCGTTCCGCCAGTAAGCGCTGGCAGATCGGAGCGGGGAGAGGGCAATCCAGCCCCTCCCCCTATCACGGCAGAGAGCCGTGACAGGATCGAGAGGTGAGCGAACCTGGTATGTGCTCGCTCACCTCCCGATCCACTGAGCCGACCTGTGACAGTCTCATTGTCACAGGTCGGCTAGAACTATGAGGTGAGTGGAAATCACTCATCTCATAGTTCTCCTTTAAAAATCTTCCAGATAGCCTCCACGTCTGCTGTGCATATGCAACACAGTCTCTATAAATCTCTATTAGTTCATATGGAAAAGCCATCTATCGTTCATCTCAATTCTTGACAGCTTTTTCATTAGACATGTGTGATTCGTTGAAATTCAGACCAATTTTTTTAAATTCAGACATTCGGATGCATTCGAATTTCTGATAACGAAAATGTCAGATGCATCCCAATTTCTTTCCGAATGCCATTCGGAATAAACTTTTGTTGTTAAACATCAACATTAAAAAAAAAGTGTCGAGTTCCCTCCCCAATTGATGGGATGTTAGGAGGGACCTCCAATGTAAAAAAAAAAAAAAGGTTGAGGTTCCCCTCAAAAGTCATTCCACACCCTTTAGGTCTGGTAGGAATTTTAACGGGGACCCCAATGCCAAAAAATACAAAAAAAAAGTGCGGTCCCCCCTAAAATTCCTACCACGCCCTTGATCCAAGCAGCAGCTTGGTAGAGCAGGAAAGGGGGGAAGCAAGCACCATACCATTTTTTTGCCTTTGGTGTTCCAATGGGGTGATTTCTCTTCACTTCCTGCCCAATAGGCACAAAAGGACATGAGAGAAAATCCCTCCATAGTGAGGGAAATCCCAGATGGTCAGCAGGATTACCAGAACTAGTGCCTATTGGAAGATTTTCCATCGATTCCTGTTGTGATGACAACCCAAAATGATGGATTTCCTTTCACTTTCAGTAATGAAGGTCACCAGGACAAATAGTGAGGGTGAATCTCCCTAAAGGGGGCACAGACAGCAATAAAATCCTGACCACTCTAATCCCTCTCCACTCTATCCAAAACAAGAAAAAAAGTTTGGGCTTCAGTTGCACAGAAATCTTTATACAGTGAGGCATGGGGGGTGATTTGCTAAAGGCAAATAGACTGTTCACAAGGGAATTTGCACTTTTTTTTGTTGCAAACTTTCCTTTCCATTAAGCTAGCCATACACTATGAGAATGTTGTCCGGTTCTTCAGGAACCGGCTGAAATTTGCACAGTGGGTGCCACTGTTGGCACTCTTTCAACCAGCATCCCTTGATCAGAATTTCAAAGGAGCTGGTTGAAAAATCTTCAAACAAACGAAATCAGCTGCACGCGCCTTTTGGGGTATTCTGACTGTGTTCGGCGGCCACTGTCAGAATACAAAGGCAACAGCGGGAGATTCATCTATCAACGCTCCTAAGTGTTGATAGAGGAATGTGTTGTATTTTTTTCATTCAGCTCGTAGGTTGAATGAAAAAAATAAAGGAGGTAAAACTCTGCTGACTTTTCTCATGCAATCATTTGCAAGCAAAAATACTGTCTTGATTTTAACTCCTTTTTTTTTTTTTTTGCAAAGTGAATTTTCATCACATTTATTAAAGTAGAACTCCAGGAAAAAAATCCTTAACCCTTGCAGTGCTTAAGTGCTCATTTTCGTCTAGGTGCGAAAAATAAGTTATACTCACCCGATCCTCAGAGCCAGCTTAGACTTATCCTTCCAGTCTCTCTCCCCCTACGCTGCAGCAGTCTAAGGTCCCGTGAGTCATCATGTCCAATACACTGTGTATTGGGCTTGAGGACGTTGAGAGACATACTATCGCTGGGGCGGAGGAGGAGAGGTTTGGGCGAGTGTAACTTTTTTATTTTTGCATCTAGATGAAAACGAGCACTTAACTCTTGCATTGTAGGGGTAGCCTCAGTGCAAGGGTTAAGAGATTTTTTACCCAAAATTACCTTTCCCTTGCAAAGTGAACAGCCTATGTCCCTTTAGTAAATGAACCTATGTGATGCATACTGAAAAATAGATTTTGGGTTTACATACACTTTAAAGAGCCTTACTTCTTTTGTCTCGTGTTTTTTGTTTTCTAATTTGTTTTTGGTTGTTTTCAGCTATAAATGGAAATTCTCTTAAAGACGCAATCCTGGGATTCTGTTACAACCACGTGGTTCAATGGCATGTTTCAAGTGTGGGAATCTGGGATGAAACTCTTACATTACAGTTTAGTGGACATACCTTCAGATACAGAAGAGGAGGTGGAGACTTAGTAACTCTCTTTCCAATGACGAGTGAGAGCATTATCACAGAAATGAATAATATAGGTAAGCTACTCTTTTGCCAAATGAATCAAACATTTTTTCTGTCTGACAAGAAACTAAAAGCTGAGATGAATAGAAAGTCCAAACATAGCACAGGTACAGCTCTTTAATGGTCAGTGTCCATACAGTAATTCACCCAAGTCAAACCCAAATCTTCCAACACCTAAGAGGCTTGACTGGAATCTTGCTACTCAATTTTATTTTTTCGGTTCAATGTGATAAGGAATAATAAAGCAAAATATATGATGATTCAGTGGGAAAAGGCCCAGAGTTAATCATTTTACTATTAATATCTTATAACAGAATATGTCAGATGCCCCCTGTTAATTGGGTGAAATCGTAGTAATAAAAAACCATAGTCAGTACCATGTGCATTAAAGATAGTTAACAAAAAATCATATAAAATTTTTTTTATATTTATTTGTGTTGTGTTTCTGTCTGGTATGTGAACTATCTTTCATAATATCAGTATTTTATGTGTTTTCATAAATTGGACATTGTCAGCTGATTAGTTAATCCATTCATACTTTTTGTAGAAAGTAGAAATCCATTGTTGGATTATACTGTTGATATACACTTTGAGTTCTATTGATGCATTGGCCATTTCTGCCCCCTTCTCAGTGACTTCTTTGTGTGTTTTTTGTTGTTTTTTTTGTTAGAGATAGAAAATAACTGAATAGGAAATTATTTGACGTGTGCTATCGTTTTCTATCTTCATTTACTTGCACATCCTTTAATATTTCCATTGATTTTTATAAGGAATAATAGTGCAAGGTAACCTTTATTTACCATGTACAAGGTAGCACCAGACAAATTGCACATCACAGCACTTATCTCCTGCTTCATGGAAAGCAGTGCAAGAGGAGTTCTTAGACAATGAATGTTAACATCCACTTGTCACCTAAGCCAGGGAGCAGATTGCAGAAGTGCAGCAATTTAAACAATGTTAGGCAAATAACACTCCATCTGTAGCTCTCAGTGAGAGGACTGTCTGTCTATGGTTGGTCCAGGGGCGGACTGACAATACACGGGGCCCCTGGGCAATACGAGTTGATGGGGGGCTTCTTTGTTCTCCGCCCATATACAAGCCCCACCCATAAGCTCCACCTACGCACAAGCCTCACCCACATATACATTCTTGTGTTATAGAAATTATTTCTCCACACTTTTTTCAAAATAGCAGGTCTATTCACTTAAAGGTGAATTGCAGGGGAATTGGTAGGAGAATTTAAAAATCTAGACCAAAACAAGTGATTTCAAAAGTAAGCTATATGGTAGAATTTTGAGAATTGAGAGTTGAACCTGAATAATCTAGGACTGGAGTGGGGATTTGGGTGAATATCACACGTGAGGCATGCAAACCCCTGCCCCCCCCCCCCCCCCCCCTCTCGGTGCTCCGGG